GATGGATTCGTTATCCCTTTTATGTTCCCCAGAATAAAATCGTATGGTCCTTTAGTGAAGACTGCAGCCCTAACACTACCCGTAAAGTAAGGTGTCTTAATATTGATAATTGCGATGGGCCACGAGTGAACGATTCCCCCGAACCCTTCTACCCTTACTCTGCCCCCTGTATATTGATGCGATTGTACAAAATTTCCTCTAACTCCACAAACATTTGCTCCAGTATCCCTAAGTGTTTTAACAAGTCTATCCCCTACCCAGCACTGTATTGTACCAAATCTAGTATTTGTACTACTGTTTAGAACCAATGATAGTCATCTACCACTATTAAGGTGATTGCTCCCCCTGGAGGACATACCCCCCTTCCCACTTGGGCAGTCTCTCTTAAAGTGACCAAATCCTTGACACTCAAAACATTGAATGGTCCTGTCCATATTTGCCCCTCTATATCTGCAGCTTGTAGTTGTGTGCCCTGACTGTCCACATCGGGAACAATATCTCTGTCCTGGTATAGGGTTCCTTCTATCTATGTTAGACTCCATGTGACGGTTACCCTCTCCAAGAGACCATCTGTCCCTGTTACCATTTTGGGCTTGTGCAGTAAAGATATTATGGTCCTACATTCTTCCAATGGGTCTGTCAGGGTGAGCCGCCTGATATTTTTGACATAGGTCTGTCACAGTATCCAGGGTTCTAGGTTTCCGTTCTTGCAGGTAGCTGAACAGACTTTTGTCCACTGAAGTCAGGACCTTATTAACTAGGATCAATTCCTTTAGATTTTGCATAGTCGGCTCCAGCCCGGATGCTTCGAACCACTTATCGAAAGCTGTCCTGATGTTGTTGCTGTATATTTTGAAGTCCTCATTATTCTCAGGGAGTAAGTCCTGAAATTTAATTCGATACGCCTCCTCGGTCAGATGGTAAAATTCCAATAGTGTCTGTTTCAAGGTCCGATAATTCTTCATTTCCTCCTCATTTAGGCACTGGCAGGCATCCAAACCCTTCCCTCCGATCAGTATTAGTAGGTGTGTGCCCCATTGAGACTCATGAATGTTGATGGTTTTCGCTATGGTCTCAAATCGTTTAATATAGGAGTCAAGATTAGCTCTATGCTCATCAAATTTAGGTATTTTCCCCAATATATTTGCGTCACTAGTATGGGTCCTGTCCATGTTAATTGCTGTCTTACTAATTCCTAATTGGCCCGATTCCAGTTTTGCTTGATAATCTACTTGCATTTGTTCCATGCTTACTCTAGCCTGTTCTTCAACCTGCGTTATGACTCTTGCTACGTTTAGTTTCATTTGCTCCTCAGCCTGTATTCTAATTCTATCTAGATCTGCAGTTTGGGCTTTAGCCTTCTCTACTTCTAATTTTGAAGCTTCCAATTCACTGGGAATCAGGGATAATTTTTCTAACAACCTTAATTGTTCCCTTACCCATGTTTCTAGTTCTTCACCCCTGTAATCTAAACTTTGCCCCAATTCACGCAGCTTCTTTGTTTGCTCGGCACTCATTTTTGTTTCTTTTGAACAATTATTTTAAGCCAGGTTAGCTACAATCCTGGTTCACTAGTGTATGCCAGATCTAGATCTATACACTATGGCAACTTCTGGATCAATTATTACAATAAAATTATGAACCTACCACAAATGTGCTAATAAAATTTAAAAATGGTGGTACTTATCTTAATAAACGAATTCACACACTGGTCCCGACACACGGATCCCCTTGACTTGTCCAGCTCGTCCTGACACACAGATCCCCTTGTAGTGTAGTTCCCAACAAATGTCCCGAGGTGTTCCGCGATTATTCCGGATCCAATGTTTATGAGGTTCAACAAGTCTTCGAGTTTTCAATCTCGTATTTTCGGTGCCGTGTTGCTGACGATTCACGATGAAGGTTGTGTCAATGTTACATACACGGTTGACGGAGGATGGGAAAACAGTTGGTGAGAAATGTCCGTTGTTGAACAATTCGCTGTACGTTCCAGAGGTATGTTCTATCAGTAGAATGTGCTGTACTGATATGTTCCACGATATAGAAAATGAATTCTCCGGTGTCTATACTTCCGCTGATCTTCCCAGCTCGAAACTGCAACAACCGATTCCTCTTATCCAGATGGGTTTTCAAAGGTAGATACGAATACTCCACACGGTTTTTCACGCCAGGATCTTCACACACGGCTTTCAGAATAACAGTCCGTATATCCCGTTCTTTCAAGCTGCTTCACCCTGTTATACTCTTGTTATATCAGGTATACGTTGTTGGCTACTCCACCATGTTACGGTTAGTGAGTGTCTTTGGTTATTTGATCCAATACCATTTTTTCTTAACCACTACCATATAGAGATGTGTTCACAGACATACATTGTACCATCATTCACTAAGACGACGTGGACGACCAACAATCAATGAGAGGAACGCAGGCTTCTTTTCTTATCTTTAATCCTGTACTCTCAACTCATATACATCCTTCCACCAAGGCGAAGAAAATCATCTAACTCACGCACAATACCTAGCAACCAGTCTCTACACCAGAACGTCACTGTCGCACCATACGCGTCATCATTCCTTGCGTTCAACATACCTTTCGCACCAACATTCATTCGCGCCGATCTATAGCATAGATTATAACATGCATCATAACAGTGAGTTAGGTACCCATCAGAGTTGGGTGGACTCAGGGACGGTCTACTGATTTGAACCTGGATTCGAACACGAGACACACGGGTTAGCAGTCCAGCTCTCTACCGCTAGACCACTCCATCCGGGAAGCAACTACTAGCGTCGTCAAATGGCCGACAGGAACTCTACTCTGGAATGAGGTCTTGACAACAAAACGTGAATAAGAAAGTCATTGTCAGTAAGTTAGGTATGTAAAGACTGTCAGACTGTCAGTTAAGTAAGTTAAGTATCAGGCAGTCAGTCGGTCGGTTGGGCAGTCGGTCAGTATATTTTTTTTACCAGTCATTTATTTTTTTTACATTTTTGTCAGTCAGTCGGCGGTCGGTCGAACAGTCGGTCGGGCAGTCGGTCAGTAATTTTATTCTAACCAGCATTTTTTTAATTTATTTTCTTTTTGGTCAGTCAGTCGGTCGGTCGGTCAGTAAATTTATTTTAATCAATTTTTTTTCGGTCATTTTTATTATTTACTTCTGTTTTTTTTTTTGTTTAAATTTAAATATTTGACAAAATCACCGGTCGCGTACTTTCATTTCTCTTTCCTCATCTATGCCTGCACAAGTAACTTTTAAAATTGTAATCCCTGATGCAATTTTTAAAAATAATTTCCTATAGACTTTTGATCTAAGCAGGTTAAAACAAGTTAATAAAAAGTCTATTGACAATTTAAGCGCAATTTCCTTATGTTATCCATAACAATTTTAAATCGAGATAAATCATATATTCAGCAAATAAATAATGCAACACAAGTAGTTTTAATAATTCAAAACAAAATAGAAAAAATATTTATTAGCGAAATTTTTAAAAATATGCGGACGTGTAGGGGGTAATAGAAAATATCAACGGAAATAGTTTTATTTTAACGAGTAGGCCTACACGATGCTCAGTTTAAAATATCATCCTAGGCCTACACGATGCTCAGTTTAAATAATTTAAAAAAAAAATTGTGAACAAACGAAAGGATATTTTTGAAAACTTTCTTCGACAATATTGTTCTAAATTATGGCAGGAATCGATTGGTAAATGTTTCAAGTCGCTAAGTGGTCTGGTAGCCGAGATATGGAGCAAAACTGCATTTGTTCGAGGATTTTTGGCTTTTCCGGAAAATCCAGGAAGGAATTCCGGGAATTTTTGGCCTATGTTCATCCTCGGAACTTGCTTAACATATTTGCTTTTGGAACTAGTCCTCGATATTGCTTCGTTGAGGAGGAGATACGACTTAAAGCTGCAGACACACATCCATCCAGAAATGACGAGTTAATAATCGCAATCCCAGTATGGAAATTGCACTAAAAAGTTTTACAACGAAGTATCTGACCTTCAGTGCAGTACTTGATCTAGGCAGAATGTTTTTTCTTTAAAAGAGGAACAATCAAACTCAGACCGCTTAACGAAAAACAAAAAAAAAAAAACATTCGCAATTTATAATGAAATACATTTTGGATAATCTGACCATATAGCGTCGGAACCTATCCGGTGATGTTAGTAGAGTTCCGTAAACATTAGGTACTTTAAATTGTAAATCATAGTTTGTTTGATAATTAAAATATAAATAAACTCGAGTGTACTAATTAACGTTTAAGTTTAATTTAAGTTTAATTAAAAATAAATTAGATTTAGTAAATATAAATAATGTAGTCAAGTGTAGTAATTTATGTTGTTTTATTCAGAAAATCGTGTGCAGGAACTGGGCAACAATTACTACATCTAGATCGAAATTCTAAATTAATTCAAAATAAAAAGTACAGCAAAAGTCAAGTATAGTTTATTTACGTTTATTTCTTGTTCAACATAAAGAAAATAGGAATTTTTTAAAGTTTAGAAAATTAATAAGCAAATAATAACATAGAGGTGTATTTTTATGCGGTCAACCTAAGGTGAGGAATTTGAAATAAATATAGAGTTAAGCAATGAATTATCTCCCATTTGGAAATCCAAATTCCAAAATTCTATTCAAGGGAAATAACTTTCACAAAAATAACTAAATTAACAATATGTAACTATGATATGCTTGAAAAACACAATACAAATCTTGATATTTTATTGCATGATTATTACATATAATTTTTGCATTAATTATGTAACCTGTCAAAACAATATATTTTACCAACTGTCTACTTAATGGTCTGTTGTTTGAAAGTATAAACAGTAGGTTTATAATAGCGTACTTCTAATTTATAGCGATTGAATGCCTAAGTAGCTGATACCCTTCTCAACAGCCTTCTCAAGTTTGGAAATATAGATTTTTCAGCTATAATTTTCAGATATCCGATGTTCAGGCCTAAATCTATATAGATCTAGAATCTAGATCTAGTATATAATACAAATGTAACCAAATCTTTCTCTCCAAAAGACCCATGGAAGTGCTAAAACCAGAGATTATTTTAGTTGGAGAGAGAAGGTATAGGAAAAATGATTACATAAGAAAAGAAACTTTTATCTCTGATGATAAAGCATTTCATAATGCAGATTCTTCTATCACATGCGGCTATGAAAGTGATGAAGCATGTGATGTAAATAATGAGATATTTGAAACTCCTTGAAAGGTTTCAGTGTCAACATGCTAATACCCAATGTATATTTCAAATACCTAATTGGGAAAAAAGGAGAAACAAAGAAACGTATTGAGGCAGAAACATATACTAAAATTATTATTCCAAGTAAAGAAGAAGCATTGAATGAAAACTTAGTCATTATTGGCCATGACAAAAAAGGAGTTTTGTCAGCAAAAACAAGAGTTGATGTCCTTGTACATTCTGCAAGACAGCATCAACCTTTTACACATTTTCTTTCTCTACCAGTTAATTCAGAGCAAATTATTAATAATTTTTTAGAATTTAAAAGTAGTGTACTACAAACCTGTCAAGGGGATAGAGGACTAGATGAAAGTTTATTTCAAAATCATAAAAGGCTTCATTTAACTATAGGAACATTAGTTCTTTTAAATAATGCAGAGATTGAAAAGGCAGTTTCATTGTTGCATTCTAGCACAGAGGATAACACTAAAGATGCGCTTATTGATGAAAGCTTAGATATTAATATCCAAGGTTTAGAGTACATGAATGATGATCCATCTGAAGTAGATGTTCTTTACGCAAAAGTGAAACCTGGTAAACAATGTAACAGACTTCAAACGTTAGTGGATAACTTAGTTACACGATTTTCAACATCTGGATTGATGAAAAAAGAACATGACAATGTCAAACTTCATGTAACAGTTATGAATACCCTAATGAGAAAAGATCCATGGGACATCTCATCAAATATGCCTAAAAACAAACCCATTCATTAGGCAAACAAAGGGAATCTTTTGATGCAACAATGATTTTGAAGTCTTTTAAAGAATTTGACTTTGGGTTCCATCATCTCTCAAGTATTCATCTTTCTCAGAGTGGTAGCTCTCAAGAAGATGGATACTATAAAGCTGTTTCTTATGTTGTCTTGCCTTAACTTGTTAAAGGAATTAACAAAGCAAATTAAATCTTATTGATGTACTAGTTTAAAAAAAAAAAAAAAAAAAAAAAAAAAAAAAAAATTGATTTTTCAGCTAGAAGATGCCTACGTTTCTTCGTAATGTGTTCCTTCCTGATTTGGAATCATCTAACGTATGATAAACTCGACTACTTGATATACTCAAACTCTACTACATTCACAACACATATCAAACTTCGATACCTAAACATAACTAGAATCGATGCTCCAGAACTACGACACCACCTCGCTTAACTTCACCAAGCTCTATAAACGATACTCCCAATCAACAACGATTTAACTAGACCTACTACTATACGATAAAGGTCAACACACTTCGATACATAAATACCGCAAGGCTCGATACTTCTGGACTCCAGAACAACGATACTTCATCACCTACATTCTCATTTCTCTACTACCAATCAGATTACACTAGACCTACAACTACACGACAACAGCCAATTTAAAAATACGATACTTTGAACACCCCGTCATTACAAAACTCTATACACCAGAACAGATTTCGAATTCAAAGTCAGAGAACACGAGACTTACAAGCCCTATTAAAAACTAAAATTGTACGTGTTTTGGAACGCCCCGTTATGCGTTGGAGCGATCACAAAATTAAAATATCCAAATTAGGGATGTGGGGTTGCATTTTCACCATCGCGAATAAATATAGGCCTATATAGACCTAATTTTGGGATGGGGGCACAAAATTGATAGTTCGTACTGGGTGCCGAATTAGATCGCTACTCCTTTATAAAAGTTATTGATTATTAGGTACTTTTTGATAATAGCGATTAAACAGTTTGCGCCCCCCCCCCCTAGGGTTTGCGCCCTAGGCAACCGCCTTATGCGCCTTATATGTAGCGCCAGCCCTGGTATTGATAAGCCAGTACTTCCTAATAGATATTCATCCAATTTTAATTAGGAAGTTACTTCCCATTTAATATTCATTTTTATCAAGGGAAACAACTTAAAACTGTTCCCAAAAGATTTTAAATAGTAGAGGTATTCTGTAGTTACAAAATATATCATAATCTGTCAAAAATAAAGATACAAAATATATTTCTGTTATGCTATTTATATCTCATTCTTATAAATGTTAAACAATTTATTTATTACTTGACTCAAATGAAAATTAAAAACTGCTAGGTTTATTAAGTATTATTGCGTTAAAATGCTAAAGTGTAATAGCTTTATTCACTGGCCGAGTTTTACTATAACGTAAAACTATTTGGATTTTAACGACTATTTAATTTCTATCTTGTTTTTTAAATGTCAATAATCCATGCAAAATAATATAGGCCAGGCGTCGGCAAACTGCGGCTCGCGAGCCGCATGCGGCTCTTTTGATGTCAAGATGCGGCTCTTCAGCTTCATACACAAATATTAATAATTGTTTTTTTTTATTTTTAAAACTCATACAAATATTGTTCTGCAACACTCGGTAATGAACGATAAAATAATAAACGTAAACAATAAACACCCGCTATTCTATTAGAATATTTAGTTACGCCATATTTCAATGTACTTCCTGTTAATTTGTCTATCCTAAATTGCAACATTCAACTTCGTGGTGGAGATCACAAAGAAACTAAACGAGCTAAATCTAAAACTACATGGAAAGTAAAACGCAGCCTATGCCTTGCTCGGAGAAGATGATTGTTTCGAAAAAAAATTACTTCATTTTGTTGAAGACCCGGAGTGCGGTAAATTACTTTATTTAGAAAAATCTGAAAAAAATATGATAAAACCAACGCTACTATTAATATGAATCACTTCAGCATTGCTATAAACAAAATGAAGGATGGGTTCACTGAGAGATTTGAGCAATTCAAAAGAAATGCAAGTACTCTGACGTTCATAGTCACAGTAGATTCTTTCAATACAAAAACAAATGAGATTAACTTTGAGCTATTTGGTATTGATGCTGGTTCCCTTCAAATTAAATTGCTAGATTTGAAAACCAAACATTTGTGGAGCGGTAAGTTCACAGATCACAAGAGCAAGTTAGATGATTTGGAGGTCCAGTAAAAACATGCACGTTTCACTGTACAACTAGACAGCTAAAAAAACAAGTTAATAAAAAGTCTAGTGACAATTTAAGCGCAATTTCCTTAATTAATTAAGTGGTCTGGTTGCCGAGATATGGGTCAAAAACTGCATTTTTTCGAGTTTTTTTTTGGTTTTTCCGGGAAATCCTCGGAACTTGCTTAACATATTTGCTTTTGGAACTAGTCCTCGATATTGCTTCGTTGAGGAGGAGATACGACTTAAAGCTGCGGACACACATCGGACACACATCCATCCAGAACGAGTTAATAATCGCAATTGTCCGTATGGAAATTGCGCTAAAAATGCCGCGAGTTGAGGCCCTACTATGTGACGCATGGAATAGTCTTGCAGGACGCTATAGTAAGGTGAACAATTTGGCATTTTGGAGTTTTCTTGCATGAATATAATACAAAGTATAGAAGCCATCAAACAAATAAAAATCTAGAGGCGTGGCTTGAACTTGACAACAAGTTACTAGCCAGGTTTAAACAAACTTTCAAAAGGCATGCAAGGCTAAACTGTTGTAAATAGTATTCAATAATTAGAGTCATATACTTTGATCACTGATTTTATTATTCTAACAGAGCTAGATAAAATACTTTAATACTTTTTCTGTGAAACATGTATATGTTTTTATCTGAATAAATATTATTTCATATATATAATCCTAATCAAATATAATATTGAAATAAAAATGTTAGTGGCTCTTTAAAAACTGGGATATTTGGTAAATTGTAACTTTTGGCTCTTCCGTCCCAAAAGGTTGCCGACCCCTGATATAGGCTTCCACCAAAAAAAGGATTTCACAGGGGTCGGTAACCTGAGGCTCGCGAGCCCATGCGGCTCTTTTGATGTCAATATACGGCTCTCCAGTTCCTTAATAATTATATTATTATATTTTCAAAACTCAAAAAATATGATAATGTAAAAACAAAAACAACTTTAAAACAAAATTTAAAAAAATGAGAATAGGTGGAGTAGAGCATACATGGTCCGCTGACAGACGCTAAGCATTAGGCCCAGCCACACAACTGTGCTGTGGCTAGCCCCGTGGCAATGGTTCCATGCTTTCCACTACCGAAGTGCACATAAAAATGTTAGCGGTCCTTTAAAAATTGGGAAATTTTGTAGATTGTGACTTTTGGCTCTTTAGTCTCAAAAGGTTGCCTACCCCTGGTCTATCCTCATTTAGGTTCCCGACATATAGGCTCAATTCATTTTGGCTCCAGACAAAACAGTCTCTGTCATTACGACTCCCGACAAAACGGGTCCCGTCTTTACAACTACCGACAAAAGGGCCCCTGTCAATACGGTTTCAGTAGAAACTAAGTCTCCCGGTGAAATGTCTTCATTGACAGCGGTACCCCTTCATCAATACTCTTTAGAGTTAACTAAGCCAACACTTTTATATTACAATCTATAGTTTATAAAGAATAATCAAAATTATCAATTATTAGGTTTTTTTTTATAATAGATTTTATAATAGATTACATATTTTTGCGCCCCCCCCCCCCCCCCAGGGATAGCGCTCTATGTGACCGCCTACTTCGCCTTACAGGTAGCGCCGGCCCTGCCCACACCTAAGGTGGGAGAAGGAGATGGATGGGATGGGCGAGGTTGGGGTGAGTGAGGTTGTTGTGGATGCGATTGGAGAAATTGGGGGTAGGTGTGGTAGAGCGTGGATAGGGTTTGAGAAATTTGGCTCCAGACAAAACAGTCTCTGTCATTACGACTCACGATAAAACGGCTCCATCTTAACGACTCCCGACAAAAGGGCTCCAGTCAATACAGTTTCAGTAGAAACTATGTCTCCCGGTGAAATGTCCTCATTGACAGCGGTACCCCTTCATCAATACTCTTTAGAGTTAACTAAGCCAACACTTTTATATTACAATCTATAGTTTATAAAGAATAATCAAAATTATCAATTATTAAGTACTTTTTGATAATGGATTACACATTTTAGCGCCCCCCCCCCAGGGATAGCGCCCTAGGTGACCGCCTAGTTCGCCTTACAGGTAACGCCGGCCTTGCCCACACATAAGGTGGGAGAGGGAGATGGACGGGATGGGCGAGGTTGGAGTGAGTGAGGTTGTTGTGGATGCGATTGGAGAAATTGGGGGTAGGTGTGGTAGAGCGTGGATATGGCATGAGAAATGGAATCATACCCACCCTGACCACCCACCAAAAGTGTGGAGTGGATGGATGAATACCCACACCACCCGCATAAGAGGTGGGTGGGTGGGAGGATAGGTGAGTGCCCTCCCACAACCTCAAACCAGCCCCCACAACCCTGACCCACCACTCCCCCCCCCCCCACCTACATATTGTCAGCGCAAATCACCTCAACCCGCCTCGCAGACTTCTAGCTAACTTCTCATACAATGCATCCCCCCTACCCGCCTAGTGACGACACTGATTATACCTAGTGTAACCGAACCTAGAGGTTGAAAATATCCAAATGTAGCGCATATAAGGTAAAGAAAACCCTACTTTTTAAAATATATCTAATATTTTTCTCGTCAATTTTAACTTAAAAAAAGAAATGATTACAAAATGTGTGGCACATTGAAATAGTTCAACCAATATCTGAACTAGCCTAGAGTTACAGAACCTGAATGATAAGGAAACAGGATCACCCGTATACCATTTCAACATTAAAATCAGTCTAAAACACGCCATCTACCAACTTAAATACCACGCCTATTCTTAGACGTAAAGCATCGATTTTAGCCAAATTTTTCGATTAAATTTCAGGGAGAATGGACATTTCTGACAAGTAAATGGTTTGGGAAATTGAGCTGTTTCATGTTTGAGCACTCTGAATTTTCGGGAAATTACAAAATACAAAAGTCAGTCATAATTCCATTTTTTTTTTAAAAATGTTAGAGTTAGTCTAAGCTTACTCTTGGACATATTGTTAATTTTACAAACAGTGGTTAGACTATGGTCTGTGAAC